AAGTACGGTTGTAGAATAACCCTTCCAGGGTTCCTTGAAAGGGAAGTAGCACGAAACCGCAAGCCCCATGAAAGGGCTGAGTTCACTTGGAGCCTTCCAACTCCCAAACCAAAGATCCTGGTGATTCTGGGATCCATTAGCAGCGGCCCCCACCCTGTAATAGTGACTATAAGGATTATATTAGGGCCCTACTATATTCCTATTATACCACTATTACAGGGCGGGGGCACCGTCTCTGGGATCCAAGCAACGGCTTCGGAGCCCGCCTCCTTCGCCTGCGAGGTTTCCGGATGGTTTAGGGTTTATAGGGTTTTGTCCCTCCTACCTAGCATGGACAAAAGCCGGCATATAGGGTTTAAGGTTTATAAAGTGTTTATGTCATTTGGCTTAGTGAAGCATTTTGGTTTTGAGTGACTTTGGTTCTGCTTTGGGAGTCAAGCGTTTAAAGTTCTAGAATTGGGTAAACATCAGCGTGCACACCCGCAGGACTATCGATCAAAGGATGCTTCGCGTTTCCGCTTCAAAGGAGCACGCGCTTCAGGTTTGGAGAACCACTTAAGCCCTTTTGCCTAAACCCTGAGCCAAATTCTACGTTCTAAGGTCCCAAGAAGATCTGCTCATCTGCGCGTCCAGTCCTTTCCTGCTCCTAAACCCTATAAACCCTAAGAACTAGGGTTGGGGGGGCCAAATCCCAGGAGTCCAAAACCGCCAAGCCCAACTCCACCCAAAACCGCCAAGCCCAACTCCACCCAAAATCCCGGATCCAAGACTGCGCTCAACTTTGGCCCCCACCCTTCGTGAGTCCTAGCTCTTTTGGCTCCCTGCCGTGAACTTAGTTTGAGTTCAATGCAAGTTCCTTGATCTTGGGTTGCGCTAAATGAAAATCAGTGAACTTAGTTTGAATCCAATGCTCATATCTTAACACTTGTAAGCCTCAGCCCCGAACACTTTGATTGCTGAAGCCCAAACCTCAAACCCAGAAAGCTCGTACCCTCAACCCCGAAGTCTTTGCAAACCCTAAACCCTTTTTTCCCTAAGACCCAAAAACCCTAAACCCTAAAGCCCCAAAGCCCAACCTAATGCCTAAGTCTAAGTATCCCTAAAGACCGAAGACCTCAGGTACAAGGTTCCGAAACTCCAGAAACTCCTTCCAGAAACCCGAATTAGGCCTGACATCTTAAACCCACAACCCCCTAAATCGCCCCAAAATCCCCGAGACCCTTTCACCATGGATCCCTTATAGAACCTTTGCGGAGACCTTTGATGAACCCGAAACCCTAAACCCCTAAGCCCTAAACCCTAAAACCTAAATCGTTACGAAACCCTCGGGAAGGCCAGCTGCTGCTCGTAGGCGAACCTCCCAGCGAGCGTGCAGCTAAGAAGGGATGGGAGTGTACTTGGAGGATCAGGGGACTTAGTGAGTAAGGTTGTAAGCACTCTAATTGGGGTTATAAGTAATTATGAGTATAGTTACCTTGTATATATGACCCTAGTTACTACGTCCCATGCTCCTTGAAGTATCGCCTCTTGCTTAGGGATTATGGTCCAGGGGCTAGGGTTTCAGCACTCACACTCGGACAAACCTTGGCGAGGATTCTTGGACAGCACTTTGGCGGAACCCAGCACATTAGCCAGGGAAACAGGGTTTAGGGTTTAGGGCTTAGGATTGTGGGTTTAAGGTTTTACGGCTTAGGTTACTACATCTAACTTTCCCTACAACTTCCCCTACCTATTGCAGAATGACTCATTACCATGAGACCTATGTGCTGTTTTCTCAAGCGAGCAATCCCTACACCCAAGCACGGCACAGAACCTCGCTGAGCCTTTTGTAGGGGCCGTCATAATTGCAATAGCTTTTGGGATGCATGGTACTCCCAATTATACGAGGAATGCAGAAAACAGTACTGCAAATCATTGAGGCGTCTGCATTACGCCGCATATACCACGAGCACTCACCAATCTGCCCGAAAACAACAGCACTTCCCAAAACCCTTTACCCTAAACCCTAAACCGTGGCATAGAGGCCTAGCTAGTCAGACCGAGGTGTCGGCTAAGATATATAAGCGTCAGACAGACAAATTTAGCTAGCCAGTCAGTTGCTTGGATAGATGACGGATGGGTAGGACAGAACGAAAAATGCATACAAAAACTTCTAGATACATAGACAGGTCGAGAGCTAGATAGACCGATCACTGAACCTGCATGCTTTTGAATCTGCAAAATGTGCACTGCTATGCCTCATGCTTGCGTCCCCTATTTGGACCTTAAAGCCATAAACAAGAAAGGCGTTGCAGCGCCGAATTCCCAAAAATGGAAACGTCGAGCCGGTTATGCATCCCTAAACCCTTGTTTCTAGCCAGGCATCCCTAAACCCTAATCCCAGTACCCTATAAGACAAAAACGCAGGGCACTTCGACCCAAGAGCCTCAAGAGAAAACATCGGGGCTAATGGTTAAATTTTAAAATGTCCCGAAATTAAACCCTCAGCCCCAAGCCGAACCACCCTTTTTTGCATCAGGACTTGTGCAATCGCCTGAACACTGACTTCCACAATGCAAAGAATTTGAAAGCCGAACCACCCTAAACCCTAAAACCCTAAATCGAACATGGAAGGAACCCAGCCTGAAATCTGATCTACGCCTGCCCCAAAACGAAAATCCGCAAGTCCCTCATGATGAATCCCGCGGGTTGGCTTTGGGATTTGTTGCAGGATTTAGCGTTTTAGGGAAGTTTAGGGTTTAGGGTTTGTAGTAGGGTTTAGCGTTTGGAGTTTGGAGTTTAGAGTAGGTTTCTCCAGAAGTGTAGGATGTAGGGATTGGCATGTAGGGTTCATTACAGGGTTTGGGGGCTGGGGATGGTTCAGGGCTTACCTACAGTAGAAGCCGAAAAGTTGGAAACCACATAGCCTCAATCCTTAAGAGTCATATATAGGGAATCCCAGCACTATTTGGCCTTAACACGGTTTCCAACTTTATGGAGTTTACTGTAGTTTACTGTAGACCCTACAGAACCTACCTTTTCATAATAACTTGCTAAAGAAATCATAATAAGGAACCCTAAAACGGTAGGTTCTGCAGGGTTCAGGGTGTAAGGTTTACTTCGAACCGCCTGACTGGCGTCAGACTAGCCGTAGAGCCGGTTGATGCCGCGATGACTCTTCCGATGTCCTGTCAGAGTGCCGAGGTTTGGGGTGTAGGGCTTTAAGGTTTGGGGTCTAGGGTTTGGGGTTTGGGGTTTAGGATATAGGGTTTAGGGTATAGGGTTTATAGGGTTTAGGGCCTAAGGCTTGCTTGCCCGATGGTTTTGCAGGCTCTTCTATTTTGGGGTCTGGCACCGGGTCGGGTCTCGCATGTCACCACCAACAACATTATCAACGTCATAACCGTCATCACCATCATCAGAACCCTCAGAACCCTCATTACCTTGTCAGTCTTCCTTCACCTCCATATGTCGATCCTCACCGCTCTCCATCAGCAACATCCGCATCCTTCTGCGCGAAAGCGAAACTTCTAGTCGCTCTCTCCAGTATGCCATCTAGCTGGGAACTCTTGCGTGATTAGCTGCATCAGCGTGTGGCAATGGCATCCTCATCGCCACCAGCACTAACATCCGTCAGCGCAGCAGACAGACCAGAATATTGAGACTCAGTCTAAACGCACTCCCTGTTTGTAACGCCAACCCACAGCCCAAATTATTCTCTTTAGATACTACTGGGGTCTGGAGTACGTACTGCGACCCTTATGTTGCCGATATAGTTCTTCTGCTAGAGTATCCCCAAGACCCATCCTAAAGCACGCACCCAGAGGGCCAAATGCCCCTTTTACAGGATCTAGGGTTGAGGTAAGAATTTCCGAAAGAGGGGGTCCAAATAAAGTACACTAAATAGTAGGGTCCTTATTATAAGGACCCAAGAATAAGGTACTCCTAATATTCGGAAACTGCCGGGTTTCAGGGGTCAGACGTTCGGTTCATGGAACACGTCTCAAACTTGAGGAACCCTACACAGCTCAAGGAATATTCCTTGAAGCATCTTAGGTCTTCACCTACCCTTAAATCAGGAGTGTGTGAAGCTCTCTGGCCCTCTGGCATCCTTGAAGCAACGCCCCATCCTGAGTTCTTGCCTGACCTTCTTGTCATATGCTCTTCAAATAGTAACCTACATATAATGATAAACCCAAGTACCTAATTAGTGGGTCCTTCGGACCCTTAGGGTGATAACATAACTGTTTTTGAGATTACAAGGAGTATCGACACTGCTGGGGCACGGACGCTGCGCCCGAAGTTCACCCGCCGGACCTGTCGAAAGTCGAAGCTTGCTACAGACTGCAACGCTCACCAAAATAAGGCCACTGCTTCGCAGTTTTGCATAAAGGATGTAGGGCTTTGTGGCAGAGGTCAGAATAACAGAGATCTCCCGAATCAAAGTTACTTTGTGCAGTCTTGGGAACGTATGCATCATGAGATCTTGGGTTAGCCAGGATGAATCATATCTAATGTACACATGCTTTGTAGTCGAAATGAGACGCCAATGTGCCGAGATGGTCCACACTGACTTGATTGGACTGGAAATAGACGATTTCGTGCTCTACCCATGGGCCCCAAAGTAGTTCCTTTTGGGGATTACCTTATAGGATTCGATATACGAACCCCAAAAAGGAACTACTTTGGGGCCTTAGGGTAGGGCCTGCTTAGGGTCAACTTGAGACACTTTGCCACACAATCATCGACAGAGGGAGGGAGAGAGACAGACACAGACAAGGGACAGACACCGAGACGGAGACAAAGACAGAGACAAACAGACAGATAGGCCAAACAAAGAGAGAGAGAGAGAGAGAGAGAGAGAAAAAAAAAAGAGGGAGGGATGGAAGGAGAGACGAGAGAGAGAGAGAGAGAGCGAGCGAGAGCGGTAGTCTGCAAATTCGGCGATGAAGAAGAAACATCGAGACTGTTTCTGATGTAGTTTTGTGCTCGGGCAGCATCCATCCGGCAATGGATTTATCTCACTCAGTCCTGACTTTCACGGGATGCTCGAATGGACCCCTGTTGGAGGGAGCAAGAGCAGCTCGTTGAGGTAGAAGCTCCTCCGTGTAGGGGTAGCCAAGCCTTCTGGCATAGGACTGGTAGATACCCAAGAGATCTGCAGGCATCGAGAAGACCGCATGCTGCGCCACCTGCATGCAAGCGTCGTCGTTCGTATGGCCAGGGTACGGATGCCTGTGCAGATCTCCTTGTCTTGCCGCTTCCAAAGCCCTTCGCCGGTCATCCGCATGGAGTGGCACACCCTGGAACCAAAAGTCTAGCAGTCGACCAACCTTGGATGCGCTTAAGATGACCTTCATGCGGGGTTGTGGGGAGATACTCCAGTATAGATATAATTCGGAACCAAAACTGCATAGTACTAGTATCAACATATTTGAGGCTCCTATACTAACCGGAACAAGGAAGCAATATTCGTCACTACACCAACTCTTGCATCAATTGTAGCCACACTTCTTAACAAGACCACTGCAGGCGTCGTGCAAAAACTCTACAACAACCCTATCGCAAACGCCGCCAAATACTGCAACCATCAGTTAACAAGTAAACAGCATATACAAACAAGGCTTTCCTAAAACAGAAAGTTCCTTAAGAAGCTCCCAGCAACTTCTTGGTCGAAGCCTTCCGAGGATCCGTCAGCTTCCTCGAAGCTAAGACGCAAGGTATCATTTCGAGGGGTCTCATAGAAGGCGGTCAGGTTGTCCATCCTGGGCTCAGAAAACCGCCGAGGAGCAAGCTCCACATCCATGTTATGAATAGTTCTACAAACAACAACAACAACAATGACAATACACGGTTAAGGCTTAGGGGTTTAGGGTTTAGGGTTTAGAATGACACTAGCAATTTAATAGTAGCTCCTAAAGAAAGCACAAGATGTATATGGCTCCGGAGCCGGGAATCAGAACCATCATGCGCTGGGCGACGAAGGCAACGCCATCTTCCGGCCCCAGGCTCTGCACGGTGCCCTTGGGATAAAACATCACCTTACCCAAAGGCTCCATAGTAGTTCCTTTTTGGGGTTCATAATTATTTAAAATCCTATAAGGTAACCCCAAAAAGGAACTACTATGGAGCCTATCGGTAGTTGCCGAGATTAGAGTTGAGGGCTTAGGGTTTAGGGTTTCGGGCTTAGGGGTTTCGACTCGCACACTCGCTCAACGCAGGCACGACTTCACGATGTCTGCTTGCTACCTTTACTACCGTGATATGCCGGCATAGGGGGATATGAGAAGCAAAGAACAAACAAGCAAGCCCGCCCAGTTTAGGGGAGGATTTATTTAGGGTTTGAGAGTTCAGGGGCCAGGGCCCCAAAGGTTAAACTTTCGGTTCTTATTGTCCACAGAGTGTACAAGACATATTATCATATTAACTCTGCAGCGAAGTCACATTCGTGTCTTCCTGACCCCCGTGGTGGTAGCAGTAGGCCGAAGCGATCATGACCAGCGGATTGCGGACGGAACCAGCAACCCTGAGGGTTCTAAGCTGCCCAGCTCGTTGCAGCTCCCTCTCATGCATCTCCAACGAGTACATGTCGGTCACAAAGCGTACTGGCGAGCCCCAGTTGTAGCAAAAATCCGGAAAGTAGCACGGATTGCCCCAATGTCCGACTCGATCGTGCCCGAGCCCCAATGCCGCCCAGACTGCACGGAAGATCGCCCACGTCATCTGCACTCCACTTTTATGGAAGCCAACTACGAGGTAGGTATGAAAATCCCAAGGCCATGACTCTGGAATCTGCTTGCGGCTTCCTTGCCTCTGTCTCTGCTCAGCCTTCCTTGTGTGAGGGGGCAAAAGAGGGTCATCCTTTGAGCTTTTGTTAAGATGGTGCTTAGGGGAGCATCTTCGGGTTAAGGGTTTACCCAAATTCCCCAAAGTAGCTCCTTTTTGGTGTTCATATATAGAATCCTATAGGGTAACTCCAAAAAGAAACTACTTTGGGGCCCCTGGGTAGAGCTTATAGGCCACTAAGATCAGCCGGGTTATGAGTCATCTACGAAATTCAGCCAGTAAGACTGGCCTTACGTGCGGCTCCCCACGATAGCAACATCACATAACCCACACCCAAGCCTGCCTTCTTTCTTTTGGTCTGCATACGAAGATACCAGAACTCATACGTCATCTACTAATCCTTTAAGCATTAACAGCACCGGAGGTTCTTCTGCACCAGGCAGGTGCCGGGCACGGAACTCTCTTCAGCAGCGAGGCAGAGCCATCCTGTCACAAGGAGATTTAAGATCCTAAACCCTATAAACCCTAACCTAAACCCTTAACCATCCTAAACTCCATACACCCCTTGGTTTTCGATAGCTCCGGGCTCGATGCGCGAGAATTAGTATAGGCATCTGGTAGTTTGGGTACAACGGTTGATGATATAAATCCTGCCCTACCCATAACAAAGAATATACCATGATTCCCAGAGTATAGGGTCATTCAAGTAATGCAGGATATATATGGGAGTTTCCGAAAATGCAGGGGGCCCTAATATAGTATCCTAAATTGTAGGATCCTTATTATAAGGACCAAAAATAAGGTACCCCTAATTTTCGGAAACTCCCATATATCATCTACCGGAGGGTTTAGGATTTCGGGTCTGAGGCGTACAGTAGGGCTCGTGGTTCAGACAGGGGTCTCGGGATACTACTATAGTTTTACTCTATTCTTAATTACTATAATTTTACTATACTCTTAGATACTATAATATTACTATACTCTTAATTACAGCAGTAGTAGTATAATCTTACGATAAGATACCAAAATCCGCGACTCCTGTCAGAAGGTAGCATGCTGCGAGCACGCGAAGGCTGGCGAAGGCCATCCAAGCTCTGGCAGAGAAGAGCTGGCTCGATCCTAAACCCAGACCCCCTTTGGAGGATCCAAAAAGTATATGCCTTAATGGGGGTTCCGATAAAATACCCTTAGTAGTATAGGGCCCAAAATTAGGGGATCTACTTTCGAGATCCTCCCAGAGGGCGGTCCTGAACTAGGATGCCCAGTAACCTAGGAATAAAGAGGGCTCCCTTTTTGGTATTGGGTAACTTTATAAGGAACCTAGGGCTACAGGGAATAAGGGTACTACTGGGCATCCCAGTCAAGTGACCCGCACAGGCCTCAAGCAGACCCCGACATTCTGAGGCCCGACAGAGTAGAAAGTTTAGGGCTGGGGTTTAGGGTTGACAGAGTCGAAAGTATAGTGTATGACTCAGAGCCCAAACCCGACATTTTGTGGACAGCAGCTCTACACAGTTCGAAAGTCGCTGAGGATTGGCAAGATTTGCACGACACGAAGGCTCAGTGGGGTTCCTTGAGCCTTGGATAAGTTGAACGAGCATCTGTGGCTTGAGATGTAGAGGTTCAGGAGCCCAGGGGTTTAAAACCCTAAACCCTAAACCCTAAATCCTAAACCCTAAACCGGTTTAAGGTTTTTGGAGGTTGAAGGGTGTGGGAGGCTGAAGAGTTTAGGGCTCGCAGGCTTTAATCAAAAGGGAAAAGGAGGGACCCTTAATGGGGACCCCTACCCTGTCATGAGCTATATAATGGGAATATAACAGCTATATGAAGGGTATATACCTAGGGGTCCTTTTTAAGGGTCTCTCCTTTTACCCTTGGATTTAAGGGTGCAGACCTCGTAGGCTTAAGCTCTGGGATGGACTCGCTATTCGGCTTTGTGGGCCTACTCTGCTGTGACTACCTGCAGACCATCCACAAAGGAAACACAAGCTTCGATGGTTATAGGAACTTCTACAAAAAACAGAACCCTTCTACACATTCCATATCAGAAAGAACTCCTCAAGGCTGTAATACAGAATGCTGACAACAAATCCTGCTCCCAGGGCTTACGAAGAATTTGGGGGAGTAAAAAGTATTGCAAGAGAGGCATCTGATGAGGGAGCATAGCGACAAACAACCGAACAAGGCAACGTAAACCCGACTACGGTCTGTAAAGATGCGAACAACGACGGGGTTAAACCCCGAGCCCCCCAAAAAAGCTCTAAACCCCCTAAACCCAGAAGCCCGGACATCTTGGAAGGAAGCAGGGTGCTCCTCCCTACACCTTCCCATGTCGGAATACTTTCCAGTAAGGTTTAGGGCTTAGGATAAGCATCCCTAGTGCCCATATAACTACGTAGAAAAACCCCTACGATTTTCGACAACAGGCCTCGTTGTCTGGCAGCCCGGTCTAGCCAAACACACACACTCCCCTAACCTACAACAAGGAAAGCATGCGAATCGACACCTCTGAGTCTAACCTACCCTTTTTGCTCCTACCCTAAACCCTATACCCTAACCCCCCAAACCAGATGCAACTGCAGGGCCTTGACTTCGGCTGCCTTTGCATGATGACGAGGGATGGCTTGAGGGGCTTTAGGGTTTTGGTACACTTCTCGATTTGTGCTTTAGGATTTAGGGTATGTGGCTTTCTCCTGAGCAGAAGTGTTTGCATGTCCACCTCAATTAGTGCTGCTTGCGCAACCGTGCTTCGCCTAAGCCCTTGACCCTAAAATTCGCCCTTGGTTCACCAGGGATTTGGTCAGGTATACCGCAAGCTTAAGCATTGAGCAAGATTCCACTAAGCTGTAAACCTATCTCAACCCTAAAGCCCTGTGGTCAACCGCCTGGCCTAGCCAAGCCTCAACGACTTCATCTATCTTCCCTGCATTGAAGGCCATGCTCAATGACTCCAAAAGAGCACGGTCTCAGCATTGCTACACGACAAGACCACTTGGTCGTCCTCACAGTGCTACCAGCATGCACGAACACCGAGTTCGGTTTCACTGTGCTGAGGTTTGGGTGGAGGGTGTGGATGCCCCAAACCCGCAAACCCAAACAAACCCTAGTAAACCCCGAGCCCCTAAACCGTAAGCCCGCTTTTGAAAATATTGAGCAGGGACTGCAATGCCTGCTCTACACCCTCAAATCCTAAATCCCTGAAGTCTTAAAGCCCTGAACCTCTAAGCCCTAAACTCTTAAATCCTGAACCCTAGTATATAAGCCCAAGCAAACCCTAACAAACACTAATAAACCGCTAAGAAAAAACCTCTACCCAGCCCAAAACACCTAAACCACTAGACTTTCCCTAAGCTTCCGGCAAGGGAAGTGGACTCGTTCTCCTGATGCCGGGGCAACGAGGGGAGCCGGGCCAAAAGACCCAGTCTCGAAGTCTCCCAAAGAACTGCAAAGTCTCCCAAAGAAAGGGGCTTGAGTTTGGGGTCTTTTTTTAGTCATTCCTTCAGACTTTTTTCAGGCTTCAGAAGAAAGCCGAAAGGGACTTTGGGGTTTTAGCGCCAATGAGAGTTTAGAGTTCCAGGAGCATTTTAGGGCTGAGGCCTTAAGGGTTTAGGGCTTTAGGATTCTGGGGTTGCGGGTTTTGGTGTCGTGATGTTGCACTGCAGAGCCGTGGAGGCTTTGCAACATAGATGTTTCGATTTCTCGGTCGGTGGTTGATTAAAAATTGGAAGAGTTGCGTAGTGACCCGACTATGGAAGACCTCCTGGGATAAACACCCACCCCACGCCGTTCGAGGCAAAATCGCTCAAACCAAGTCCCTGTAGGGTAAAGAACAGCAGTAGCAGACTGGAGGTTGATAATACGGAGTCACTTAGAACTTAGGGATTATACTAACCAAAAATTAAAAATTATTTCTAAGTACCCCTGACGGAGAACTTGGGCCCTTGGATTGAACTCTGGATCTGCTGAATCAGGGCCAGCAGATGAAGCAAAGGCAATCATCTTGATTCGAGCTCTCCGGCAATAATGTGTTGCAAGTGCCGCTTCAATTGTTATTATTTATTATTATTATTACCATTATTATTATTATTATTGATTCGAGCTCTCCGGCAAAGAGTCGACATCCCCATCGATGAACTGTTAAATTCATTGCACACCCTAGTGTAGAGGCGGCCTGAGTAGGAAGGCAAAGGCGTAGGTGGGATACTATGGTGTGCATCTACTTGAAGAAATCGGAAGCCCCAGTAGGAAGAATAGCTTGACGATGTATATTACACCCTACTGGTTTATACAACGTCCTTGAACTTGGCGTTTGGCTTCCGGGCCGGGCAGCTTTAACAATTAGCTACTCCGGACAAACATACACTCTCAACCCCAAGACCCAAGAAACTTAGCTTCCCAAAAAAGAAGCCTCAATTAGGATAGTCAGTGTTCGGTATCCCCATCAAAGTCTAAGTACGTATCAGGAAAAACTCTATGTGAGGCATAGGGGCATAGTAGTATTAATCGAAAATTGAAGCCAACAGCCGCCAACCTTCATGCACAAACCCTGAACCACCCAGGTCTCGTGCCCCCAAATTGGTGCTTAGGACATCTACTTCAACATACACTCACCACAAAACTCAGGGCCAATCCCGGTCCGAAACCCACTATGCAAACCCAAATTCCTCAGAACCGCCCCCAAGGACCTGGACGTGAGCCATCTCACAACCCTCTATGCAAACCCAAGTTCCTCAGAAAAGCCCGAAATCCCAACCGCACAAATAGCTTGCCTTGCATTTCCTCAAGACTGCCACCAACGTGTCGGGAACCTTATGCGTGCTGCTCTAAAGGTTTAGGGTTTAGGGTTTTAGGGCTTAGGTTTTTAGGGTTAAGGGTTTAGGGTGTTTAGGCTTTAGGGTTTAAGGTTTTTAAGGTTTACGGTCCTTTTTAAGGTGCCC